AATTATTTACCTCATTTCAATGAGAGAACTTTTTTTTATTGATAAGCAATTGGGGTTGGTCACAATGGTTGATCATCAAAAATAATAAACATCAATAATAAATTTTCATATATGGTGCGAATCATCTAAAGACATCAAGTGCTGCGCCACTTGCCGAAAATTTTTATGCTGATCTTGCTTTATAAAGAATCCAATATATAAAATAAATCCAAATTTGTAAAAGATCTGTGACTTTGTCACGTGAATAATTGGTAAATAATCTGTAAATTGCAGTTTAGATATATAGTTGCCGAAATTTCAAATAAAATAGCAAAGTTACCCAACTTTAAACCATTATAACTTTTTTTTTAATTAAATAACTCAAAAAAAACTTTCTATTACATTATTTTTCATGTCTAGAATATTGCAAAAATAGAGAGTTTTTGGTAAAATAGCCCATATTTAATAAAGTATCAGCACTTAAAGATTGGCAATATTTGATGATGTCTTTAGATGATTGCCACTATAGTGGTTATGCTCTATATTTACACAAATTTTTTTTTCGCTATGATCAACGTTACTCATCCATATAAAAATCTTGATTTTTCCTGAAATTTTCTAATTTTGGCAATATATCAAAACTTATTTTATACCCAATAAAATCAACCATAGTCTGTTATTATCATAAATAGAAATATGAATATGATGGATATTTTTATAAATGTTTCACAAAGGGTTGGAGTTTGGAATTGCTCAGCAAGTATTTAAAGAACAGCAGTTTTAAACGCACTTTGTCTTTTTAATATTTTTTTTAATATTTCATATTCTATATTAAATAAAACATGATTTCATTTTATTTTTTTAACATTTCATTATTCCAACCACAATTTCATTTTTATTATTTCATTGGGCTGTTCAAATTTAGAAATCTGTTTAACATCATTTTTTGAAAAAAATATGGGATAAAAATTTAAACATTAAAATTTAAACGTTTAAACGTTTGATAAAAAATATGTAAAATTACTTTTTTTGGAAGCTTTTTGACGATCAAAGGATTAGTTTAAATTCAAAATTTCTAAAAAAATGAGAAGGGGGGGGGGGAGAGGTTGATGTTAAACGAGACTTCAAGTTTGAATGGCCTTGTTCTAAACAAACCACAATTTAATCTATATATTAAAATCTTGGATATTAACCCCCATATTTTATTTGTTACACCAAATTCGATAAATACACTTCTCTCTATAAACCAGTAAGGTCGTTGATGTGAACTGTAAATACACAATTTTTTGATAATTTTAGAGATTAATTTATTATTATTATTATGTTTATAAGTCTTTTTGATTCTAACAAGAATATATATGAATCAATCGGTAAATATATGGATGGATGAATGGACGAATGATGGAGAAGAATTCAATGAAAAAGTATAGTTGGCTAATTTTTAATTCAAAAATCAATATTGATGATAATCTTTAAAGTTATTATTATTTTATTATAAAATGAACAAAATTAACTAAATCTGTCTACAAAGAAAATATTATCCATTACACGAAGACACACTGATGAAACACACAATCGCAATTTTGTTTACCAATTGAAAAAAATTCCGCTATAGAGTAACTAGAAATACCTTTTATATCATGAAGGCAACATAATTTATTGTTATTAATAGAATAATTACTGATAATAGTATCTCTTATCATAATCAATCAACGGTGAGTTGACATTATATTCAAATACGAATAACCGTCCAATTGAAAAAATTCCGATAATTTATTACGTATTCAACAGGAAATTTTTTATTTTTATTTTTTTTCGTACAACTACATTTGAAAACATATATAGCCTACTTTACAAACACGAGTAAAACATCAACATTTAACAATTGTTAAATTTATTTTTTTGTCAGTGATGGAAAGAGGTCCTTATATTAAAAATAAAAAAAGCTGTTTAGAATGTAAAAAAGCGAAGCAAAAATGCAACGAAAAAGATCCTTGCGAAAGATGTTATAAAAATAGTCGCCAATGCGATAGAAATTGGAATTCGAAAAAAAGAGGACGAAGAAATAAAACAGGTAATGTTCTTTTTTTTGTTGATCAGTATTGAAAGGGAATAGAACGTATGGAGGGCAGAGAAAACAGATATTCAATGCGCGAAATGTGCTGTGTAAAGATGGGAACCGTGATTAGCCGCAATTCAACCGTAATTCAATTTTTATAGTTGAAACTAGTCATAATTAATTGAGGAATCTGTGCTAACCAAATTTGATAATTATTGGCAGAACTTCCCAAAATAATTGATTAAATTTTGGTTGGCACTAGTGTTGGTCGCCAAAATATTTTGAGAGGTGAGAGTCAACTAAAATTAGAAGTCATATGTCAAAAGTCAAATTAATTTCGACTTATGGCGAAACCTTTTGACTTTTGCATAGTTATAAAATTCTTTAGTTTGGAAAACAACACTAGTTAGCACCGTACGCACACACTGAATTATACGCTGTTCAGAAGCCAAGAAATAATTCTTACAGCCGGATTGTTTATTTTAAATTTTCTATCAAAAGTTATAAGCATAAAGGTTTGAAAATTTCATTATTTGGAGGATATATATATGCAAGAACAGGCGCCTAACAATAAAAACTCATACTAACATCATCATTTTCCCCTCAAACAATGGATAATCTTATAACTCAACGATAATTAAATCAAATGACCCAATCTCAACAAAAACAACCGCAACAACAACTACCACAATAACTGATACAAAGACCTACTATCATACATTCTCCGAATAATAATAACCAAAATACTATGAATTTTACAAATACACTTGTTGATGTTGCTCGTAATCATACTGCATCATATGTCAGACTAACCTTAAATATTCGATTAAATTCTCGTTCAATTATAGCTCCCACTCCTCCTAATTTACCAATACACGCACAAAGTCAGGTCAATCAAAGAACAGTTGTTCAACAACCTCAACAGCAATCAACAAACAATAATAATGTTTCCATACCTCAACAAACTCAACTATCGACAATCTCTCAACCAAGCATCAAACAATTAAGTCTTAATGCTTCTACATCATTAGTGACACCTTCTTTATCGATAATAGATAATAATGGTGGTAATGGTAGTAAAAATAATAAATCTTTTGATTCACATGAAAATTTAAATAAAAAAGGAAGGTTGGACAATAATAGTATTGATAACCCACCTAAAGATTATGATAAGGAACCATCATTTGAAGAACTCTATGAATCAATAAGAAAGTTAAATAATACAATGAAAAATAACATGGATACTGGAGAAGCAGCCAAGGGAACTGAAGAAAGTCATATTCCTTGTAGAACGTATGTGGAAAATAGCTCCAATCATGATTGTATTAGCAGTGCCTTGTCAAAATCTGCTTGAATGCTTCTACTTCATTGAGAGGACTTATTAACGGATTGTTAATTGGTACTTTGTATTTAGTTGGTTGCTTTTATTTTTATTTTTATTTTTTTATTATTGGAAGAAAATTATAAGAACGTGTGGGGGAAAAGGTAAATTCCATGTATTACGATTTCTTTGATATTTCCTATCACCTATGTTGCAATACATCGTTGTTTGTTGTTGTTTCACCTGGTTGATGATGGGCTTGCCCATTAACACTCAGTAAACAAACTTCATTTGTATTGAGTTATGTTCTTGTCATCGGGTACCTGATCTGTATGTCAATATGTTTTTCACGTATCCGAAAGGTACGTGAAAAAAGGATATTGCCTATAAGAAGTATAGGTATCTGATACCTACCTGATAAATGAATTAACAGGTAGGTCCGACGTGTTACTGGCAGAAATAATTTTTTTTTTTTAATTCAAATATATTATTAAACGATAAACTGATTGTATCACATGATTATAATATAAATAAGTTTGTTTATTTCTGCCAGTGATTGATTACATAGGACCTACTTGATAAATTCTTATTATTATGTAACTTATTATGTAAACACTAAAAAATAAACGATAAACTGATTGTGTCGCATGATTATAATATAAAGTTGCTAAGTTTGTTTATTTATGCCAATTACATAAGACCTACCTGATAACGAGTTGTTCTCATAACAGGAGTGACCTGCATATAATAGAATTTATTTTTCATTTTTAAATTGATTAAGTTTGAATTTGAATTTAAAATTTGTTATTTATTGCATAATGTGAAATAAAAAATTTCAGGTATCGATTTGCTCGGTATTTTTTTAATGAGCTCGCGAAACAATCCCATTTTGATTTATTAAGGATAGGTTGTTTGCTTTTTGATATGTATACTTTCTTTTATTAAAGCTTGATTTTGGGGAGCTAACACTGGTATGCTAATTAAACTCTTATATAAGGAGAAACACGGAAGATACTATACAATTGGAATAATTAATATCGTCCATCTCAGACATGTATATGGTGTTTCCAAGAGACTAGGCTTGTACAATCCTGTAGAATTATCAATGGCAAGATAAAATACGTGGTGCTATTGAATGTATCAATCCATTAGGTATTTCATTCAAGTGTGGATGCACTATAAAGTCATTCAATAACTGTCATTGCTATTGTTTGTGCACAAACCCTCTCAAAAACTTACACATTCTATCTACATTACCACCAGTCAATTTATGATGGACATTCAAAACACTTCAATATCAAAAAAATCCGATGGAAGTCTTTCCTGGTCAGGGAAATTTTAGTGACTTGATTTACAATGATACACACAAATATATATTTAATTATACAGTGCAGGAGCTCTACAATAGGAACAAATGTTGCTTGGTATAGATCGTTCACTCTGTAAATAGCCAAACTTATTATTGTGGAATTTTTTTGTGCCACACTGTTTCAATTTACGTTTTTTGTATATAAAGGTGTAATTTTCGCAGTTGTCATGTTAAGAGGCTAAGAAGGAGTGTTTTATTTTTTATATTTTTTAGGTAGTCATTTGCTCTTGTAATTGTTACCATTAGAACTCATGATGTCCTTGGCCACCTCATCAACCAAGGGAGTTGGTTTTTTTTAGTTGGTGTATTTTTAGATTAAGCCCGTTTGATTTTGAATAGTTAGATGTTTGAGTACTTTGTTCAATATATAATAGCTGGGTGACATGTACCAATGTAAATTTATTATTTGAAAATTCTAAATTTCCTGCTAGAAAAAGTACACTTCCTTACCTGATTGACATAGTTGTGGTTACAAGATGTTTCTCAGCACTTAAATGATACATTGTAAATTTTATTGACTTTCCTTTTAGATTCTACATATTCATAAGCATTAACCTCAACACTTACTTATTTTATCATTATTAATATTCGGATTATTCATTTCTGTAATGATTGATTCTACAGTAAGGCCCGCCCGAAGAAGATCAACTGGTATATACAATAGGTAAAACAATTACATTTGACTTGAGAAAATACAGTACAAAATGTTGATCAATTTTATATTTACATTGTGTCAAAGTCGAAATTAATTAACTCTCCTCATTTTCGATAATTGTAAATTTTCCATTGATTTTTTATCAGGTAAATTGTTGCAAATTTGTTGCTGTGATGTCATCCTTTGGATAAAAACTAATGGGATGGAAAATAATTTCCGCGTCTCTAAATGTTGGCCTACAAATTCCTACGGCTGTTACAAAAAAAAAGTCATTTTTTGGAATTCATTATGTAAAGAATGGAGTCAATTCTGGAAGTCATTATTCTTTGTTAATTAAAGTAATTGTTGAAGTAAAAAAAAAATAGATGGTTAAACGTTAAACATTTAATGCAAATTTATAACAATTTGATCAAAGTTTCTTTAGAAAATTCAAATTTAACTAATAATATTCCTTAAATGTTAAACTAAAGATTTTGACGCTAAAATGTATTTAACAAATTCAGAAATGACTTGGCGGTTTTACAGATACTTTCTTTAAAAAATATTAATATGGTTTCTAAGTAATGGTTGTATCCGTTGATATGCATAAATTTTTTTTTTTAATGTTAATAACAACGGATTCAATTTTATTCGTTCGGCTGTCATTGTGTTTCCAGCTTCACTAAATACAGTCAACCCTCGTCACAGCGGATGAATGAAGGTTTATTTAAAACCCGTTGTGGCAAGATTTACTGACCTTGCCACAATGGATTTTCATATGTTTTTATATTTTAATGCGAATGTGAACCAAAATTTAAAAATTCGCCACGTTAATAATATTAATGTATTAATTTTCATTTTTTTATTATTTCTGTACCACCGATTATTCACCAATTATCTGGTGAAAATTTCCAACGCCCGATTAATTAATCAATGAAAAATTTTCAACACCTGATTAACCGGATCGATTTTGTTAAATAAAAATCGTGTAACGTAAAATTGTTTTAGTATAACAGATTTTACCCTTAATATTTTTTTGCTACTCTTATACTCTAATATTAATTACAATTGAAAAATTCCGCTACGGAACAATTATTAATATTATGATCGCCATTATTCCCTATAGGAAAATACCTTTTATATTAATATCAAGATTTCATATTGTGTTTGTATTTATTTTAGGTTTATTTTTATCCGTTGATCGTATTGGTAGAAATATTATCAACAATCGCCTTTTTGCCATAATTTAAATGGTGATGATTATAGTTATTTGCCATAATTGTTTTTGGATGAAGGCAATAATTGCGGATTCTGAAACATAAAATAACTATATATTATTATGATGCCATTTGACAATAATTACAGAGGTAATTTTGGCAACTATTAAAGTTAACTATAGCATTCATCACAAATACGGTAGCAGTAATTTATTATTATTAAGAAGGGCAATTATGGCGAACAACTATAGTGATAACAATACAACTTCTACTAACAACAACATTAATTATCAATTTATTAGTTTTGCTTATTAATCACAATAATCATCATCCTAATCCTGATAATTCATTAATTGATTTTTTTCCTCGATGATAAGCTTACACAGTGGACGTTTGATAAATTCCTATAATTGTGAAACAATTACAAAAGAAAGTTAGATCTAATAACTATGATCACCATTATCTTCTATCGGAAAATACCTTTTATGTAAGTTTTTGTTCATGTTGATATCGTAAAAAAATCATTGCATTTTGTATTCTTTATTTTTTTGTAACCATTCATCCCCGCTTTCTTACAATTAATTGTAAAAAAAAAAACTGGCACTTTTTTTTATTTTTTTAACTTGATTTTTTACCAGTTGATCCATGCCATGTTAATACTAATACAGTAATATTAATCAATCCAATTGAAAAAAATTCCGTGTGGAACAACAAAATATTATAAAAAAACTCGCACTTTATATTCATTTTTTAACTTGATTTATTACCAGTTGATCCACGTTAATATTAACTCAATCCAATTGAAAAAAAATTCCGTGTGGAACAAAATAATTATATATATAAATGATAGTTTTATAGAAAAAAAAAAAAATTTTTTTGCGCACATAAAAAAATCATATATTTTTTTCATACACTTGAAAATATATATAGTCTATTTTATAAACACAGATTTAGGTTAATTGCATCGTTTTAAAATAAAACAATCAAGTTATTTTTTTATCGATAATGGAAAGAGGTCATTATGTAACAAAAAGCTGTTTGGAATGTAAAAAGGCACAGAAGAGGTGTAGTGAGGAGATTCCTTGCAGAAGATGTTTAAATCGTAAGAGCTACTGCAATAAAAATTGGATTCCGGGCACAAGAGGGAGAAAAAAAAAATCAGGTAATGATTTTTCTTTTGTTGATCCGTATTGAAGATCCATCATCCCATCTATTACTATATATTATTATTATCATCATTATTATTGTGTGCGGAATCAAATTTGGTAATTATTTGCAAAAATCTGCCGATAAATAAGTACCAAATTTGATTAACACGCACATTACACGCACTGAATTTTATTATATACCCTGTTTATAAGTCAAGAAATAATTAGTTACAGTCGGGTTTTTTATTTTAAATTTTTTTGTCAAAAAGTTACAAGGTTTAAAAAGCTCACTATTTTGTCGGACACATTAATATATACAAGAACTAATGGGGGCTTTTCAATTAGTGTTAGCTTCCAAAACTAGAGAGTTTCGCAACCGTGCGAGAGTCAAAAGGTTTCGCCATAAGTCGAAACTGGTTTTGATTTTTGACTATTGACTTTCGATTTGGTATTTACATATAACTTTTAATTTTAGTTTGACTTTTGCCTCTTCAAAATAGTTTTGGCGACCACACTATTTTCAATAGAAGCGAACCATCCTCCAAAAAAGGAAATTTTAATCCTGCTCCATATGTAACTCTTCATATAGAACTTTTTGGCTTAAAACCACATCCATCCATTTCTAGTATTCGAAATTCAGAATGCACCATGGTTGGCAAATTGATTGGTCCGTTGAGAACTGATGGACTTTGGACTGGTCTATTGCCATTAATAAAATAATAAATATGATCAAAATGCTACACTAATGGATCCAATGGAACACCAATGGACTATCAATGGATCGCATATTTGCCAACCCTGGAGTGCATAGGGCGTGGGTGCTAATCAAATACAGTATAACCCTTGTTTCAACGGACTTCGCTTCAACAAATTATAATTAAATTCGTGTTTCAACGGATTTTAAAAATCTTTGTTACTTATTACACATTATTATTGTGAAAACATAAAAATCCGTTGAAACGCGATTAGTAATTTCGTTTCAACGGATTTTAAATGAAATTTTCTTAAATTAATATGTACTGCCACTCCGTTAAAACGAGGGTTATACTGTACGGGAATTAGTTACAGATAATTTTCATATTTGGTTAGGATTCGTACCCTCCCACTCTAGGACCCGGACAATTATACACAGTGGATCTCAGTTTAGCGGATACTAATTAAAAATCTCGATTTAACAGATAAAGTCAAGAACGGTTCCATAATAACCATAATAATAATAAAAATTTTTCGGTATAACGGATGTTTGGAAATTTTCTCTGATACTAATTGCCTAAAATTATCCGTTAAACTGAGATTCATTGTGTAATTGAGGTCCTAGGTATTACGCTGTAAAACTTTACACATTATCTAATCTGTGATTTACCAAAGTAAAAACCCACAAACATTATTATAAAAAAATTTCTTTTACAGAGATAAATCTTTTGGCACCAAAATCCATAGTACCGATGGTTAGAACTTGAGGTAAAAATGTCCAAAGGTGGGGTAAAAATGATCAACATTTACACATGTTATAGCGCTTAGATGATTCTTTAAAAGAAACATTTTTTATTATGAGATTTGGAGACAAGTCATGTGCTCAATATGATTCAAAACATTTTTGTGCCAAAAACATACTAATACCTCAATTGTATATAATTGTCCGGGATGCAGATCTTTTTTCAATTTTCTCAAAATTTTTATCGTTTCTATTGCAATATTAAAAGGCACTCAAGTGGCTAACAATCAAAATTCCGTACCTGCTACACCTGCCCAACTTTCACCATCACCATCACCACCATCACCACCACCATCACCACCATCACCATCGCCGTCACCGCCACCGCCACTACAACAACACGTACAGTTGATTAATCAAAATATTAAATCTGCACAATCTCTAGCTCGTCCTATTAATGTTAATGTCGATTCTACACAACCTACATCATCATTTTTTCTTCAAAAAATAAACAACCCTATAACTCAACAACTATTAAATCAAATGGCCAAAGCTCAACAACTAATTCAACAACAACAACCACTGATACAAAGATCCAATTTCATACATTTTCTAAATAATAACAATCAAAATACTATGAGTTCTACAAACACACCTGTTGTTTCTCGTAATCATAATGCATTATATGTCAGACCAGTCTTAAATACTCAATTAAATTCTCGTTCAATTATAACTCCTACTCCTTCTGATTTACCAACGGACACACAAAGACAAATTAATCAAACAACAGTTGTTCAACAACCTCAACAGCAATCAACAAATAATAATAATATAAATAATGTTTCCATACCTCAACAAACTCAACCATCGACAATCTTTCAGCCAAGCATCAATCAATTAAGTTATTCTTCAACATCATTAGTGACACCTTATTCATCAATTGCTCAAGCTAACAATACATCGATAATAGACAATAATAGCGGTAGTGGTAGTAAAAACAAAAATAACAACCAATCAAATGATGGCACACTTCAAACTACTAAACCAGAAAAATTTACCGTTGATTGCAATGATGTATTTAGAAAACTCGATGCTAAAGCTCGTGAAAGAATAATAACATCCCGTGAACTTACCAATCTTAGTGATGATGAGAAGGCAAAAATTTGCGAGAAATTGGAATTACTAAAACCAATGCTCTACAGAGCTGACGAAATACTTACTTACTATACTAAATCTCACATTGATACACTAAAGTTTCTAGAAATGAAATACATGATTGATGACCAATTAAAAGCATTACCTGGCAAATACTTGCTTTCACTGAAACAAGCAGATGATTTGTTAACAAAATTTGGCAAATACTTTGAGTTTGTTGAAAATACCAAAAAAGAATTAAATTTCACTGCTACAAATAGCTTGATGCCTGCCGATGACCTAATAATACCACCTATAGCCAATAAAATCATTTCACTGGCTGTTCCAAACAAGAAATATAAACTTGAAAATGACCAAGAAAATAAATCTTCTAATTCACATGAAAATATAAATAAAAAAAGAAGGTTGGAAATTCATGTTACTGATAGAAATGAAATCAAAAATAATAACTCTGAAAATGTCAACAATTACAATAATAGTATTGACTCACTTAAAGATTACGATAAGGAGCCATCATTTGAAGAACTCTATGAAACAATAAGAAAGTTGGATAATACAATGAAAGATAACATGGATACTGGAGAAGCGACCAGAGGAGGTGAAGAAAATCATTTTTTTAGAACGCATGCGGCAAATATCTCCAATATTGATTATATTGGTAGCGCCTTGTCAAAAGCTGCTTGAATGTTTCTACTTTATTGAGAGGACTTATTACGGATTATTAATTAGCGCTTTATATTAGTTTTGCTTTATTCATTTTTTTTTATTTTTTATTTTTATTTTTTATCTTTATTATTATTATTGAAAAGAAATTATAAGAACATATAAAGAAAAACAGGTAAATATTGCAATCCTATATATTACGATTTCTTTGATGTTTCCTATCACATATAATGCAATACATTTAGTTTGCTGTTGTTTCATCTGATTGATGATAGGCTTGCCCATTAACACTCAGTAAACAACTTCATTTGTATTGAATTACTGCTTATTGAACCTCAGTCCTAAACTGATATAATTATTGTTATTGTTAAAATCCTTTTGTTTTTTTTTTTATTTAATTTTTTATTTTGTGTATATATATATATATATATGTTGTGCGTGAATTTGAAATCTGCATGAATTCGAAATTCACGCGCGTGAAATTCAAATCAGCCAATCAGAATTTTGTATCCATGCACCTACAAATTTTTAGAATTAGTTTTCCATTTATTTTCTCGTTCTTCTATCTTGGTTTTTAATTTATATTTGTATAAATAAATGATTGAATTTAAATATTTAAATTTTGTTATTTTAATATTTTTGTTACACAATGTGAACATTTATTTGCTCGGTGTTCTTTTAAACAATTTTTCAATTTTATTAATAATTTGTTGTTGCTTTTTGATATTTATCCTTTCTTTTACTAGAGCTTGATTTTGAGGAGCTAACACTAGTATGCTAATTGAACTTTTGTATAAGGGGGACCACAAAAGTTATTATACAGTTGGGAGTGACTAATGAATATCGTTCATCACAGGCATGTATACGGTGTTTCCCAACAGACTAGGCTTGTACAATCCCGTAGAATTATCAACGGCAAGATAATTATTGACAAAATATATGGTGCTGTTGAATGTATCAATCCATTATGTATTTCATTCAAGTGTGTATGCACTATAAAGCCTCAGGATCCTCATTCAACAATTGCCGTTGCTATTGTTGGTGCACTGACCTTCTCAAAAACTTATACATTCTATCTAAATCACCACCAGTCAATTTATGCTAGAAATTCAAAACACTTTAATATCAAAAAGATCTGACGGAAGCCTCTCCTGGTCAAAGAGATTTCTGTTCATTCATTACATGGAGAGATGTTTTATTTAATAATAAAATTTTTTTTCTATAATATATGTCTTGACATCTTTATCTAAACAATTTGGTTTTCTTTCTTGTGTATGTAGGCGTAGCATTGGCAATGCATATATCATCTTGCGCGTGGTTTTTTGAATGGTTACTTTGAAATAAAAAAATAGTGAATATTCCTTGTTTAATGGACTTTTTATGGTACTGTTGCTGCCATGACTGTTATGATTATCCAAAGTTAGATTGGAATTATTTTATTGTTAAATAATTGGAACCTTTAAATGCATATATGTTGCTTGCCTCAATTTATAAAATTCTAACTTTTAATATAAGCCTGTCATTATCTATAAAAGAAAGATATAAACATTATCGTGGTGTTTGTAAGGTCATATCTACAATAGAGATATATACATACGAGTGGTCATAATCATAGGTCAAAATTAATAAATTAGTATAGCAGTTTTATCATCTTTTGGTAGCTGGATAGCGTCAGTTAACATATGCTATTGATTGTGTTTCTGGGTTTTAGCTAACTAACTCCATTCAGTAAGGAAACGGCTTTGTTCCATTTAAAGTGAATTATCCTTTTTAAACCTATAGATTATACATATATATTTTTTAAAATTTCCTTTGAAGCAGATTTATCTTATATATCTTTAATAAGTAAAATATACTGTATTTACAACTGAAACGGTTATAATGAGGAGGCTGATGTTCAGGATCCGATAATATTAAAAAAAGAAATTACTTGGTAATTAATTATTATTTCGCAATTTCGCACCATATAATATTAAACACAAGGTAAAATAAATCCCAAGCCATGAATGAGTCCACGTAATATCAATTCAACAAATCCTATTTGTGATTTTTTAACTAGGGTCACACCATCTTCAAAAACATCGAAGTTAAATTTTTGCTTGTATGTCAGAAGGTCATTATTCCAGATGTATCGCAAGTCAAATTGCAATATCATTATTATCGTTAACTTTATTGTTGTAAATAGAATCTAAATATAATTCAATTAAAATAGACAATTTTGTTTATGTAGTAAATTAAAGGTAAATATTGGTTCTCTAACAAAAGATAGTTTAGGCGCTCTCCGAGTTTTTTGCATAATATATATATAAGGATGAAAAAATCAGGTCATATTTATTTAATAAAAAATATTTTCTCAAAATAATTCAATACAACTTTGCTGCTAATACTAATCGGAAAAAAAATGAGAAATTCCATTATGGAACAATTAACTATTTATTTATATATATTACTATTACTATTGCTATTGCCATTATTATTATTACTATTACCATTTACTATTACTATTACCATTTATATCACTATTACTATCCCAATTATTATTATAATCATCCCTATCGGAAAATACCTTTTAGGGACGGACATAATTTTTGTTCATATCGTAAAATTAAAATTAACTATTTTTATCTGTTGACCATATTAATATAATTATAGCTTTTCTTGCCATAATTTAAATGGACAAATAATAATAATGACAACAATACAGCTTCCAACAACAACAACAATATTAATTATCAATTTAATTTATTAGTTTACTAATTAATCATTATAATAATAATTCATTTTCAATTAATTGATTCTTTGGAGGGTTGGATACAAAATTCTGATTGGCTAATTTGAGTTTCACGTGCGTAAATTATAAATTGACGCAGATTACACAACATATCACATTACTTCTGATTGCCATTATTCCCTATCGGAAAATACCTTTTATGAAGACATACAGTAATTTGTTTGCATTTTGTATTGATAAAAATAATTCTTCATTTAGTATTCATTTAACTTGGTTTTTTACCTGCTGACCATATTAACGTTGATAAAATGAACATCCAATTGAAAAATTTCCGTTATGGAACAATTAAATATAAAAAGTCACAAAAAAATTTTTTTTTTATTTCTTTTTACGCATACAAAAATCATATTTCTTTTTACGCATATAAAAAAATCATATTTCTTTTTACGTACACATATTATCAATTTATTTTTTTTTTTCACATACACTTGAAAACATACGTCTACTTTATAAGCACAGGTAAAAAAATCAATTGACTTAGGTTAAACATGCAGTAAAATACACCGTTTTAGTTAAATAAAACAACATTTAACCATTGTTAAATTTATTTTTTTGCCAGTATGGAAAGAGGTCATTATGTAAAAAAAAGCTGTTTGGAATGTAGAAAAGCGCAGAAGAAGTGCAGCGAAGAAACTCCTTGTAAAAGATGCGTTAGAAGTAACAGCCACTGCAATAAAGATTGGATTTCGAACAAAAGAGGAAGAAAGAGGAAATCAGGTAAAATCATATTTTTTTATTGGCCTGTATTGAAAGGAAATTTATAGAATCATATAGAGAAAACAGATATGATTATTTGATATTTCCTACCACCTGTGCTACCATTAAGAGCGCACAGTGCAATACATCGTTGTTTGTGATTGATAATGGGCTGCCCATCAACTCATTTATTAAATTAAATGTCCAACCAGTCTACCCACATAGTGAAATCTGACATGATCATATTGACATTGAAATGACCCAACGATAGTTACCAAAATTTTTTACATAAAATATAAATCTGATTTATTTGTCAAAAAATTTAATACATTTATAAGATGCGTTTCGTGGCCCTTCTTTTCCATTTTTCATTATAGGAATTGTACATTGTGTCTTTTAATTTTTTTAAAATATTTCCACACAAAGCTTTAATTTTTTGTTTTAGATAATTTTGCTTTTGATTTGTTGGGCAAAATTTTTCAGGGATTAGAGAGGATACGGCTGGTTGTATTCTTCAACATATCTAAAGTCAGTTAATATTAGTTCCTAATACTAATTAAAAGGGATCTATATTTTAACCTACTTTAACTTCTAACATTGACGGCTATTATTGGTTGCCAAAAATAGTATGTGCTCCTTCAGTAGCGATCGGATAAACGGATATCCTCTTATCCGTATAAAGTATGCACCAATTGAGCAAAAAATATCATGTCAATTATCCTCTTATCTGTATAAAGTATGCACCAATTGAGCAAAAATATCATGTCAATTATGATGTCACGAAGCGACAGGATCTCATCAATGATTTTGATGATGTTATAGCCGTGAAAAATATGTAAATAACGGTTAGGTTACAGGTAATACTATGTTAAATGTTAATATAATACAAATTAATATTAATACTAATTTTTTTAAAAATGATCCGATTATTATAGTGCGTGAAAATTTATATTAAATGAAAATGATCTATTGCATCAATAATTAAACCGCCAATTCAGATTCGATACAAACGCAAGAACAAAATTTAAAACGTAATCCTACCAATCAAGAACTTATTCAACCATTAGTCGTGTGGATAAGATTTTATTGGATATTTGGTTTAATATACAGTTTGTAGATTCACTATCAAAAGTTGTAATATTTTCTATAATAAAGCGCTTATAGGGTTTGGACCCCTTGTGCGCACCTCCCTATTACTATATAAATAATATTTTATGCTTTGGTATTAAAAATTAACTATATACAATTATGATATAATACTATAAATTATACTATGTAAAATTATGATATAATACTATAAATTATACTATGCAAAATTATGATATAATGCTATGTTATACAGTGTTATAAGCTTTATTTTAATGGCTTATGTTAGCAGCCTGCGAGCTCTGACCTTGGCCTGATTTTTAGTAACTACATATGTAAACTCGATAAGTCGGTCACTCGATAAGTCGGTTTACTTGATAAGTCGGCCAAAATTTTCATCCCATTTTCTTAATATTTAAGTAATTTAATTCGATAAATCGGTTTACTCAATAAGTCGGTCATATGAGCTCACCCCCACATCGAGTTTACATATGTATAAGAAAAACCTTTTATTCTTTGTTTTATTTTTAAATTTATGCATACCACCCCACATGTTACATAACATGCAGCCAGTGTTGAAAATTCAATGTTCGCAATGCCCGTGTGTAACATTACACATCATCAAATTTTTTATTGGCTAAAATATGTACACGTGATAAAATTTAAAAATTTGCCATCCTTGTGTCACTTGGTGTCTGAAAATTCAAAAAATAATATTTTTCTAAAGAATTAATTATAAATATCTTATTTGTCTATATATAGATGACGATAATAATAACAGAAATGGTAGCAGAAATGGTAATAATAATGATAGAGACAATGATGATTACAAGAGTAATGATATAATCGATCCAGATGATCCTACATCGAAAGAAGACCACAATATATTTATATTTAATAGTGAGCTAACACTGGACGAAAATATTGAGAAAATTCGGAAATTTTTTTGGGAAGATGATTAAATTTTATATTCGTTCTTTTTAAAAAATATTATTTTCCTAGTTTACTTTTAACTGTTATTCTTATTATAATTTTTAATTTTTTGTATAAAAACAAAGATTAATAAACTCTTTTTAAAATTTTATGTGAGAGAGTCTTGTGAGGATAATAATAACAATTATTGAATGCGCGGCAGATTTATTGTATTAATTTATAGATTAAAATTCTAACTTAAACATAATTGGATTAAAAAGAGATAATTATAATGTTAATTATTAATCCTTTTTGATACACATTTCATATTCTCTCAAGACCAAGTTATCAGTTTTTATCAAAATTTAATAATTCAAGAGAATTCCACAAAGATGTTTTGCTCATTTCTGCTTTATAAAACCATGTGAATGAAAAAATCCCAACAACAAATAATTTTGAAATAGTTTGATCCTGATTCTTTCTTGTCATTATTGTTTTTCATCAATAACTACTACTGGTTCTTCGTTAAAATTTCCTTTCACATCAACATTTGAGGTTTTCCAAACATCTATTAAATATTCAAGTGCATAATGAAATTTTTAGATTCCTTCAAATTTAAAAATGGTGCCCCAACATCAAATTTTATTAAGAGATTTTTTAATCAGTAGGCTTCATTAGAAAAGATTATTTCACTTTATGTTTATTTATTGCAATCAGTAACCTCAGAGAAATGTCAACATCGACAACAAATAAACCAATACTGCCATGAATAAGCAACGAGTTTTGACTTGAAAAATAAATAATTGCTTATTCATGGACTAGTATATTGGCTTGAATTGTTGCTTATTCACGTTAGAATTTAAACATGTACTATGTGGATCAACAAAGTGAACATTTTGTATTATAAATAATTTCGGGGTTCAAAATTTAGCTATAACCAATGAATATATAGTTCACTATTGAGTTAGTCTTTAAACAATATCTAACTGGTCCCAAAGACTGCATCTAAAGACTGATATTTTAGGACTGAGACCGGACCGTATTAACACAATCCTAATTTTCAAATAACAAACACCTTGAAATTTTAACCTCACGCTTTTGGTTTTCAGTTTTTGGCGCGATCAATGTTTTCACCATATTTAGAAAAAATGTGTCATACGGAAAATGTTTTGTTTCTTAAATAAACTTAAGCAAGCATGCAGAGCAATGGACAAGAAAAAATCTGTTTTTTAAACCTAATTGTTTGTTTTCTGAAATATATTTATTCTTTGATGATCACTTTTTCCACATGATAAACATTTATCATGCAATAATAATTTTTTCCACCAATAAAAATTCAATTACAAATACAACTTGAGAAAACAATGATGCTTCAATAAAATAATGGTAAAAAATTATTTAATAAAATAAAATTAGATTCTTATAAATGATTTTTTTTTTAACAGTGATTCTGATATTGAAAGCAAGTTCTAGAAAAAAAAGGTTTGGTTGATGTGAGCCACATTAATGTCAACATACCAAAAAAAGATCAATATTGTGAACCCAGGAGAAGGTATTGCTGATGAAGGTGAGCAGGTCATTGTCCACCATAGATATTTCATTTATTATAATGGCATAGATTTTCTGTAGCTAGTCTTGTATCTTTCAAGAATGAGTGTATGGTCCTTCCACCAATGTTCTGGAGGGTAACACCAGTAGGAGCCATTAACAGGTATTATTTTAGACTAATGATTTGTTTTGTCATGAAGGACTTCCTAAATCCATCAAAAGAAGTAGGGATATCTTCCTTTCATCTGATGATTTTCCAAAATGTTGTACAGGGTGCTGTAAATACCATATGGCTCATTCTGAAGTGATTGTATCAAGTGGAGGATGATGTGATGCCAGCTGATGAAACATGATATCGGATAGATCTTGATTCTCAAGCTCAGGTAAGAGTGATCTTATTTCTAAGTAAATTATTGCTTTGTTATATCTTAGGGGGAATCTTTCTCAGTATGTGGTTAAACATCCTAGCAAGTCGTATAACTGACCTTGCTGCAACCTTCATAATGAGATGTTGAAAGAAAAAGGGCTCACTATGTATCTAACGAAACATTCACTGTACAGTCACCTTGCCTTTTTTATCTTTGGTGTTAATAATTTCGATTTCAGACCTGGGGTTTTGGATCTGATTGTGGCTGAGGGAACCCTTTGGAACATGGTTCTCCATTTGATGGTGCAATGAATGATACTTCATGACAATGCTTTTCCATGATTGGATCAGGAATATCTGCATGGATTGTGTAGGTAAAGCCATGTATGTGGATCATTCCATGGTTTTGAAATTTATCATATTTGATGAAATGCCCTAATTCACCATCTCAAGGTCCTTCCACAACTTGTGATTGCTTGGCATGGTGTTGCCACTTCATGCAAGTAGGTCCATTTGTCTTTGGCCATAATCAAGGTATTTATTTTTGAAAAAGGGGCACAATTCGAAAGCAAAGTGTGTTTGTTGACTTGTTCATGATTTTGTGGCTGCCATAAGAGCTTCTAACAATCAAGTTGGTTCAGATTGGATGTTTCTCACAGTTCATGTTTCTGGTGGCCAGTATCCGGTTCTGATTTTGAAAATTTCTTCTTTCTCAAGCATCAATGTGGCTAGCTATCTATTGAAGGTGGTATTTTTTAATGTACTCTTTTTATTGGGGAAAACATCAAAGCTTCCAGATCAGCATTTTCAAATAAGATCAGAAGTTTGACATTCAATCAATCTACCACATAATTTGTATCTTTGTTGTGTATTTTTGGAGGAAAGAATCATTTAAGACAACCAAATCCGGAGGATGGGAAACCTCTTCTGGAAGTTGACTGCAATAGTGGTTCAACAAGTAAGTTGAATATGGGCTTTTTATTTGATAATATAGGTACAATTTTTATTATATTTAAATTATTCAGATATTAATGAATTATTTGTATTTTATACATATTATATGATATATTTGATTAGTAGTAGTATACCACTTTGACTTGTTAATGCTATGAAAAAATGAAAACATTGATTTGAAAAGGTGAGAAAATAAATAATACTGCTATTATGTATGTTAATGCTATGAAAAAAATGAAAACATTGATTTGAAAAGGCGAGAAAATAAATAATACTGCTATTATGTATGTTTATGATTATTAAAATTACATTTATTTGTTTATCAAAGTCATTGTTTTAGTGCGCACATTTGACATCCAAATTTTAAAATGAAAAGAAAATCCAAAGATATGATAATTGTGTGAAATTATTATCTTTATATAATATCATTATTAAATATAAATAATCAAATTAATCTAAATATTTATATCCATTAGATGAGAAACTATAAATATGGCAATAATGTTAATGTTAATATTGATACTAAATTTTAAAATTTAATAATTGAATAATTAATAATTACCATTGTTGTTACTAATAATTGTTACTTTATTGGAATTCACAGGTTGGGGAAGGTTTGTAAATTTTAATAATCTGCTAGTATAAATTGCATTTGGATGAATTAATGCAGTAATTGTTGAAGGATCAAATTTTATTTCATCCATTTTATCAAACTCTTTTATAATTGATTTATCTTGTTCAAGATACCAAATATTAATAATCTCATAAATTTCTTCAGCAGTTGGACGTTTATCTGGATTAGCATCCATACATTTGAATGCTAATTCAATATAGAATTTTGGTGTATTGTTTGAGAATTCTGGTCTTTCACCTCCACATATTTTCATTGCAAGATTTATATCATGTGCCAAATTATTAAATGGTTGTTGGCCAGTTGATACTACAGACATCAGAACTCCAAAACTATATACATCTGATGCCATTGTATATGGTTTCTCTTTTAAAACTTCTGGTGCAATATATGGTAGTACTCCACATATACCATTTTTGTTTGATGATAATGTTTGACTAGCTGGGCATGATAATCCTAAATCTGCAATATATGAAATCCAATAGTTTCGAAGAATATTACCACTATGAAGATCATGATGAATAATTTCTTTTTCATGAATATCTTTTAAACCTTCAATAATATAATAAAGAATTTCAATTTTCTGTTCCCATTTTAAATTTTTAAAATCTTTTTTAGTTAAATAATTTTGAAGACTTCCACCTTCCATATATGCCATTACAAATATATATTCTTTTGTAATGGGATCATGTGTTAATCCATAAATATGAATTATATCATCATTATCATGAAATTTCATATAATTTTTGAACTAAAACAACAAAAAAATATTTAATTACAACAATAATGTTTAAAAAATCTGAAAATAAATAAATAAAAAAAAATTTACCTCATTAAGAAATTCATTAGAAATATTCTGTAAATTATGTAGTTTTTTTAATGCCACAGTCCTATCTTTACTAGTTCTTTTATTTCCATTAGCACCTTTCTCACCATTTAACCAAGTAGCTTTGTATATAGTTGCAAACCCACCTTCACCTATCTTTTCAATATTTGTCAAGTTATTATAAGGAATCCATTGAAGATAACCATAATTCCCATATTGAGTTGCTTTAAGTTGTGTACTTTTAATTAACTCATCTAATGTTTCATTGCCACTAGTCCATCCTTCAGTTAATAGCTTTGGATCACATGATTGACACCATGCCCAAGTAGTATTATATCTATTGCAGGTTGGGCATTCCCCATATTTTTCTTTTCTAATATATTCATCATCATCATTTTTGTCAGTAGAAGTATTATCATGATGTTTATTTTCATCCAAATTGTTTTCCATCTTTAAAAATTATTTGTGGTTTTTTATATTTATATAAGTCAAAAAAAATTTATCACATAAAATATTAATAAATTAACAACAGAAATAAATCCGGCATGACACCCGACATATTAATATAAAGGACCCTAAAACTGTAATGTAATTATTTCGGCATATAAATATTGCAAGCGTGCGGTTATTGGAGTCATCATATCTGGCAAACTAAAATTAAAATCACTATATACAACTATACTGCTTGGTTAAGTTTCTATTTGATAGCTTTATTCGAATTATT